TATTTTCGTACACCGGTTTCTAGATCTGCTGTCGTTACTTGAAAATTTTACCTCATAGAGGTGTTTTATCTGTTATCATTTGAGGGTGGTCGTTTTATGTACTCAGCTTGGAGTTAAATCTGTTGTATTCTCAAAACCAAGCGAACTAAAATAAACAGCTGAGGTAAATACGAGTATTGTTAATACAAACAGAACAAACTTCAACTCGAGATTTTGCTTTGATCGAGACCAACTAGTGGAAATTATTCAGAAGTCAATGAGAAAACTAAGAATCGGATATGTGACAAATCGGATTCATTAAACTAAACAGATCCTTTTGCGTCTTGTATGAAGTAATTAATTCACCACGGGCATGATGAGCGGTTTGGCGAGCGTAATTTTTGTTCTTCGAAAGAGGGCTCTGCTTTTAAATTGCCTACCGAGCTCAAAGTAGCACCCGTTGGCAGTTGTAATACATGACATTGTTAGTGGCATTTATGCTGGTCCACCTCTAGACCAACCTTTTTAGCTTCGTTTTCTAAGCTGAAAAATGCTGAGCCGACATCCCTGGGTTTCAGGTCAACGATGGCAATGTCATCCGCATACACCAGCAGCATAGTTCTTTTACTGTATATGGTGCCGCTGCCAAACAATTTGGACGGAGCTGAAAGTTGTGCTCAACGTCATTATAATAGCCAGTCGGCAATTCCAACGTAGAGAGCAGGGCTCAATTTCTGATCATTGTGAAATGCTGCACAAAATTTGTATACCTCGGTGGACATGGGCGGCTCGCTCACGGAAATCAAAAGCATAATTAACGTAATTTAGCATGCTATAGCTAAGCAGACATGGAGCTGTACAGAATCGCTTAATACTACCAGATAGGTGTCGAATACATACGAGGCGCTTAAAACCAAGGCTCTTTAGGAATAGCAAGGAAAATACCTACAAACTTATGGTTGTTTTCCAAGGACATTGGCGTGTGGATGTGCTCGCCGAAAGGATCCGCATACCAGCCAAAAGTTTCTACCGCAGGCAAGTGTTCCAAGTATCCAGGCTTGCCCACTATTCCCGTGGAGTATTTCTGTGCTAAAGCCTCTCCCTCTATGATATTCTGAAATTCCTCGAAATACCAAAAGCCTTTAGATGTACACGAGTGTATGATAAAACCCGATGTTTAGCACCTTACCAAATATATCTTAACATCATTTTTGATTCTCACAAAATAAACCATCTCGTCATAAAGAAAAATATTTTAAAAATAGTTCTTGAAAAACCCCAATTTTTTCGAACCACGCTTTTTATAGAGGATTAAACAAGAATTACGATGGTATAATTTTAAATCCCTAACTTACTGGTCTTCACTATGCAGATCAACTTCAAACAGTTCAACGGTTAATAGCTGTTTAGGCGAGACTGCTAACACTGGGCGCCTAAATTCGTTGTTTTTGTTGTTGTAGCAGCATACAAATTCCGCAAAGAGTTTTTGGGGAGTGTTGCTGGAGTGACAGTCCTTGGCCAAATATAAATCTGGGTCGTTCCGGTTACGTAGACCCGACTGTCGTGGGAACGGCCTAAATTCGTGATATGTACTGCTGCCTGTGTAAAAATTTCCTTTATGCAATTTATGAAATTTTTGCACATGCACTTCTCAACTGCCAAGTAATTGAATTTTCTTAAGTTTCAATAAGATGGCACTTCAAAGTATGCTCGGCCTAGTCTGGTGCATTCTCCGGACACTGCTTCCGGAGCATTTTGCGGACTCTGCATGACTTACAACCGTGCAGAGGTGGTAAATGAACTTTACCATTGGCCACAGTGCCTACCCACTATTTTTGAACCAATAAATATTTTTTTTATAAATACATCCATGCAAACATACTGGTCTCCCCTCTCACTGAGTTATTCAATAGCTAAGATAGCTTTAGGACAATCTTGACCATCTTATATACAGAAATATTAAGCCCGTTTCTTAGCTTTAAAATGATATTAAGATGAAGTCTCTACGGTGAGCAGAACCCGAGATATAACGATTTGAAGAAGTACATGATTAGTC